CTGTCTATGTGTCTCCCCACCTGTCTGTGTGTCCCTGACCCCCTTCCTGTCTGTGCATCCCATCTCCCCTCCTGTCTGTGCATCCCATCTCCCCACCTGTCTATGTGTCTCCCCACCTGTCTGTGTGTCCCTGTCTCTCCACCTGTCTATGTGTCTCCCCACCTGTCTGTGTGTCCCTGTCTCCCCACCTGTCTGTGCATCCCCGACCCCCTTCCTGTCTGTGCATCCCGTCTCCCCACCTGTCTGTGTGTCCCTGTCTCCCCACCTGTCTATGCGTCTCCCTGTCTCCCCACCTGTCTGTGCATCCCTGACCCCCTTCCTGTCTGTGCATCCCGTCTCCCCACCTGTCTGTGTGTCCCCGACCCCCTTCCTGTCTGTGTGTCCCTGTCTCCCCACCTGTCTATGCGTCTCCCTGTCTCCCCACCTGTCTGTGCATCCCTGACCCCCTTCCTGTCTGTGCATCCTGTCTCCCCACCTGTCTGTGCATCCCCGACCCCCTTCCTGTCTGTGCATCCCGTCTCCCCACCTGTCTGTGTGTCCCCGACCCCCTTCCTGTCTGTGCATCCCATCTCCCCACCTGTCTGTGTGTCCCTGTCTCTCCACCTGTCTATGTGTCCCCCCCCACGTCTGTCCTGATGCTCCTGTCTGCACATCTGTCTCACTCTTGTTCTCTACAAACTCGCTCCCTTCATATGCAGAACAACGAGGCTGCCGCCTTCTAGAGTTTTCATCTGAGGCTCCTGAAAGGAGAGTAGATTTTTCTCAATCAGAATTCTTTCACTTTTTTGGACACAGTCTCACTTTGCACCCTCTGTAGAGTACTATGGTGTCACAGCTCACAGCAACCTCAAATAATTGGGCTCAAGTGATTCTCTTGCCTCAGCCTCCCGAGCAGCTGGCACTACAGATGCCCGCCACAACGCCCAGCTATTTTTAGAGACAGTTGCACTCTTGCTCAGGCTGGTCTTGAACCTGTGAGCTCAGGCAGTCCACCCGCCTCTGCCTCCCAGAGGACCAGGATTACAGGCCTGAGCCACCGTGCCCGGCCCTCAGTCAGAATTCTAAATTCCTGGGACTTGCCTCGAATCCAGCCGATGGGCAAGGCGCCGCCCATTTTGATGGCCTGTTGCTTTTGTGTTTTCTTAGATCCTGTTCTTTAAGATTTACAAATGCTTTTTATCAGACACCACTAAGCAGGATGCCAGCGGCAGTTTGTGTTCAGTCCAGTCGCAGTTCTTGGCTTTGACGCCGCCGTTTTCTGTGAGATTCACTTGTCGCTGTCGTCCTGCAGCATCGAGACCGAAGCACCTGCTGGTGTTCATCAACCCGTTTGGAGGGAAAGGGAAGGGCAAGCGGATCTATGAACAGAAGGTGGCGCCGCTGTTCACGTTGGCCTCCATCACCACGGAAATAATCGGTAAGGCACAGCGCGTGAGACGCGGGCGTCAACTTGGGAGTGATTTGAGTGTAGTCGCAAGAGGAGGTTTGTATCCAGTAAGGTTATTTTATTTTATTTTTAAGATAAAGTCTCACTATGTCGCTCTTGGTAGAGTGCGGTGGTGTCACAGCTGACAGCAACCTCCAACCTCCAGCGATTCTGCTGCCCCCTCCCAAGTAGCCGGGACTACAGGTGCCCACCAGGCTATTTTTTGTTGCAGTTGCCATTGTTGTTGAGCTGGCCCAGGCCTGTTCAAACCCACCAGCCCCGGTGTATGTGGCCAGCGCCCTAACCCAGCAAGGTTAGGGCGCAATGGATGCCCAGCCCAGCAAGGTTATTTTAAACAGAATAGAGCTTGTAACATAGAGGAATGGGAGGAACACAAAATAAAGAATGTGGTCTTTCTACTGAGTCTTAGCACATTAAGCACTCAAGAAAAACACCGGGAAGATAAAAGAACAAGATCATGGACAGAAGAGGCACAAGGGATTAAGAAGCCCGAGGAGTCGGCTCAGCAGTGAGTGACTTCATTGGAAACGTAACTCGACACTGTAACCGCAGCTCCCCAGGTTTTCAGCGCCAGCGCCAGGTGCAGGGAGGAGCAGGAAGACTGGGTTCTCTCACCCTTCATTGTTGGACAGTTTTGTGAAACCATATTGAAGTCACCTGGCAGCTGGGCACAGTGGCTCATGCCTGTGATGCTAGCACTGTGGGAGGATCGCTTGAGCTCAGGGGTTCAAGACCAGCTTGAGCAAAAACTAACCAGGTGTGGCAGGTGCCTGGAGTCCCAGCTATGGGAAGCTGAGGCAGGAGGATCGCTTGAGCCCAGGAGTTTGACGTTGCTGTGACCTATGGTAATGCCCCCTGCACTTTAGCTGGGTTAATAAAGTGAGACTCTGTCTCAAAAAAAAAAAAAAAAAATCACCTGGCAATTTGGGTCAAAGCCTGAAAAATGCAGGGTTTTTTCCTTCAATATTTTATGTTTTCTAAAACTTGCCTAGGAACCCAGGTGTGCACAGAGCCTGAGACACACAGACGTCTGTGGCCACCCTTCTCATGCAGTGAGATAGCAAAGTGTCAGACCCACTCAGTGCCCCAGACAGGAGACAGACGTCTGCAATTGTGGTGAATCAGAAGGAATGTTATGTAGCACTTTTAAGTATTCTTATAAAGAGTTTTCAATGATAAGAAAGCGTGATACAATGGGTAACAAGGATACAAAATTATGTGTACAGTAGAATCTCAGTAGAAATTTCTGTGGGGAATGGAGAGTACAGACCACCCTATCTCCTTACTATATTTTGGTATAGTCTACAATTTTGAAAGTAACTCATACAGTAAGGAAAAGTGTAAGATAGAAAGAAGATACAACCGCTTTCCACGGAATTCTCATTTGTTGACAATTAAATGCTAGGAGTGTTCTGTCTCCCCCGGTGGACTGTGAGAGACGGCCATGTTCTCCCTCCACAGGTACCATGCGGGAAAGACCTGCAGGGTTCTGTATGAAATCCACTTGCAGGTTTTATAGGATGTCATTTAAAAAGAATGGTTTTATTTGCCTTTATTTAAGTAAACATCTACAGACGTGAATAGAAACTATGATGTCATGTTTTTCCCAACAGTTACTGAACACGCTAATCAAGCCACGGAGACCTTATATGAGATCAATTTAGATAAATACGACGGGTGAGTGCTCTGGCTTAATCTCGATTAATAAAGAGTCCATTCTAATCAAGCTGTACCCCTCTCTCTGTTTTTTTTTTTTTAGCTCTTTTTCCTTAATTTCCCCCCCTAATTATAAAAGTAAACACGCTTCTTATAGAAGGTCAGGTTTTCTTCTTTGAATTAATTTTCATGGTTTTGGACCATTTTATTCCGTTGGCCATAATTTTTACTCATTTGTTCTTTTATACAACAAATAATAGGCAGTTCGTGTTTATTGTCAGATTTCTTGCAAATGTTTTTCCCAGTTTTGAAACGGTACTTTAATTTTGCTATTCGCATTTTTGGACCAGTAGTAGTTTTCAAATCCACGTACTCAAATTAGAAATTCATTCTCCCTCTGGAGCCTGACTGTTCCCATAGTTAGGAGCTTCTTGTCTCCTTCTGTCCCATCTGGAGTCCTGTGAGCACGTGCTGTGAACTGCAGCGTGAATATTTCTTGAAATCTTTATTCATACTGCAAACACGGCTGTCTGTCTGCCAGGCCCATCCTTGAGCTGAAGTTAGAGAGGGAGATGGAACTGGCCGCTGCTGTGCTAGACCGACAGGGAGAGTCCGTCCTCCTCTGTCCTGAGTGAGGGAGGGTCCGGCACCCTGCTGGCCTGCAGTGCCCTTCCACACCCCTCACCCAGATTCCACCCAGACAGCAGCCTGGTCGGGAAAAGAATACAGTTCTCAGTTTCCAGTCAGCCAGACGAGTCACCTCCTTAGCACATTCTGCCCCAGCCACATGCCCACATGGCCACGGACCCCCCTGGGAGGCCAGGAGGCCTGGCCAGTGAGGGTCCATAATCTCTGTGACCTGGTTGTTTATCTGAGTAACTCCTGAGAGTCGACTGAGTGCCCACCTTGGGCTGCCAGCTGTTGTACTGCCCACCCTGAGGCAAGACCCCTGTCCTTGAAACCACAGCCCACCTGGGGAAGGTGACTGAGGCACCGCCTGCATGTGGGTTATGGAGCTGAGGCAGCCTGTGGGCTGCATGTGGGAGGTGGGTTTAAAGCACGAGCCCTATGAGACGGCTTGTGGGCAGAGGCCCAGACACAGGAGATTTCTGTGCCTGAGTAGCTGGACCCACTGGAGAACACCCAGGCATGCTGGCTGGCCCGCTCAAACCAGAAGGCACCCCCTGGTGCTGCAGCCCCCAAACACGGCCCTTCTGCCTGCCATCTCTCCCCAGCCCCGCTGTGCTGAGCTTGCCACCTCCCTGGTGATGGGGCTCTCGGGTCTCCAGAACTCTCAGCATGTCCTCAGCTCCCCTCCGTGATGTAGTGACATGTCTGTCTCCATGTGTTCACACACCTCTCCGTGCAGAGTGTCATCCCCACTGCCACCTTTCTCTTGCCACAGCCCTTTTCTCCACTTCTTCTCCTTACCTTTCCTCAAGAACCTGTTAACTAGGTTGGGCATGGTGGCTCATGCCTATAAACTCAGCACTCTGGGAGGCCAAGGAGGGTAGACCCCTTGTGCTCGGAAGTTTGAGAGTAAGACCTTGTCTCAAACAATAGCTGGGCATTGTGGCAGGCACCTGTAGTCTCAGCTACTTGGGAGAATGAGGCATGAGAATTGCTTGAGCCTAAGAGCTTGAGGTTGCTCTGAGCTATGACACCATGGCATTCTACCGAGAGTGACAAAGTAAGACTCTGTCTCAAAAAACAAACAAACAAAAATAAACCCATTTCCTCCAGATGTATTTGTTCCCCTCTGCCCCTGTTTTCTGGGTCCCAGGATGACCCACCTGGCAGAGATTTGTTACCAAGACATAACCAGCCAAATCAGGGAGCGGGATGCCATGCACAGGCCTCCTGTGTACTCTGCCTCCGGCGGGGCCCCTGAGTGCACCCATCTCTCCATCAGCACATGCCGCCACATGGGTCTGGTGCTTCTGCCCTGAGGACTCCAGTTCCGAGGCCCAGAGTTTAGGCTTTCGGTGCGAGCCTGTCGTGTAGGGGTCTTTGCCTAGCAGCCCCCTAAATTCCAGACGCCCAGAAGGAAAGTCGGTGTTGGCCATAAATCACATTGTTTGTGTTGCAGCTGGGGCAGGCTGGTACAGAGCCATAGCCTTATCAGTGAGGGCAAAAGTCCCCAGACACCTGCCCGGGGCTGTACTTGCTGGAGGCTCAGGGCTGCTGCGCTGGGAGCAGAGCCTCTGCAGGGACCCTGACAACCCTGTGTTCCTCCCGCAGCATCGTCTGTGTCGGCGGGGATGGTATGTTCAGCGAGGTGCTGCACGGCCTGGTGGGCAGGACGCAGAGGAGCGCCGGCGTGGACCAGAACCACCCGCGGGCCACGCTGGTGCCCAGCAGCCTCCGCATCGGCATCATCCCCGCGGGTACGGGGCCTGCGGGCTCTCCCTGCTCTTGCCCCGGAGTAGTGCTGCCCGCAGCCACCGCGGGCAGTCTGTAATCTGATGGCCTCTTTAATGGCATGGACTATCTATCACTAGGGCCGCACTGGGGGAAATGCCATTCTTGATTGTTCCTTCAGGGTTGTTTATTTAAGTTGCTGTTTTGTCACAGTTTACAACTACTGCACACTGAGAGATCCAGGACACCCTGTCCTGCTCTGCTGAGGCTGCTTCATGGAAGGCGCAGGCAGCTCGCGAGGGTCAGGGTTTAGTTGCGTGTTGAAGGATGATGATCTGTGTAGAACTCCTTCCCTTTAGCTTTTGGGGACAGTGTTGAAGAAACAGTTACTCATAGAGTGGAACTATAGTCGTAAAAGAGCTGTGGGCTTGATCAGCTCGTGGAGCGCCAGTCCCGGGTGCTGGGAGCTTCCGAGGGAAGAAACTGCTGGAGCCAGGTCACTAGAGAGAAAGCACCCAACGCCCCCTCATGACAACACGTCATCTGTGGGTCTCTGCAGAGCCCGCCCCGGGCTTCTTCCCTCCCTTCTCAGGCTGACCTCCCAGGTCACACCAGGTTGCTAAAGCAGGCAGGAGGGTCAATTAGAGGGCTGCTGGCCAACAGGCAGACGTCTGGGCCCTGTCTGGTGTCTGCCCACAGCTGTATGTCCCTGGGGGCGAGCCTCGCCTGGGCACAGGGAGACCCTCCTGATGGTTGTTGACCAGTTGACCGAGCACAGCTGTCCAAGGGTGGGCCCACTGGTTCCATGTCCATGTGCCCTCACACTTCAGGCTCCCAGCCCTTGGAGGTGCAGAGGGTCACCACTTGTTTTGCTGGCTGGCACTGGTTTGAGTGCAATTCTGATTCTTTGAATGACCCAAACACCCAGAGTCGATGGCCACATGCACCCTGAGTGTGTTTCCCGCCATCTCGGCCCAGGCGCCCTTGCTGCTGCCCCCCAGGACTCCCTGCGCTCCCTCCACATGCACTGAAAGCTCTGGCACCTGCTCGTGTGGTTCTCAGAGGCCCCGGGGGTGGGGTCGCTGGGCCCACTTAACTCCCCCATGAGAGCCACATGGACCTAGACCGCCAAGGGCCTGGGGGTGTCTGTGAGCTCCGCGCCGTCTGATGGGCAGGGGGCCGTCTCACTGTCTGTTTTCCTCCCGTCCTCACGAGCCTGTGCAGCCTGTGCCAGGCCCGCCTGCCACCTGCACCTCGTCAGTTCCCTGTCATGTGCTCGACGGTTTTCTTAGGGACTGTCTTACCACCTGTGATACTGTCTGTATGTTACTCCCCCCAGTTCCTTACGTGTCACAACTTTCTCCATGTTGGGCTTTGTCTTTAACTTTGCATGTGGTGTGTTGTGGGCTTCGTGGGGTTGTTCTCCTGTGTTCCAATCTACCTTCTGTGGTTCTGACCTTGTTCATGAGAAACCTGCCTTTCATCATCCTGCCGGTGGCAGCCCTGATCCCTAAAATGCTAAGCTGTTAAACTCTGAGGCCAACTCCAGAGCTCAGGCCAGCCTGCACATAGGGCACTTGGGAACCCGCGATTTTAACCTGCTGAAATCTGCATCTTGGGCTGAAAGCTTCTGGGCTGGTGCTTTTCCCGTGACTTTCACCATTGACCTTGCTCTGAATGACTTCCCTGTCGGGGTGCCCTGCAAGCTCTGGGCCGCCAGGTGCCGCTGTCCTGTGACAAAGGCATGTTGGAGCAGAGGTTTCTCACAGGGACTGCGGGAGCGTCCCCTGGTGCTCAGGACGGGGTTGCTTGAGATTATCGCAGGATCAGTGTGGAGAGTACGTTGGTGAATCATCTTAATGTTTTCAAGATCATTCCTTGTTTACTCTGGGGCACCGGCTCAGGGTGGTTTTTGCTGCAGTTCTGAGTTTCTGTGATACACAGGCCCTTCTCCCCCTCCAGGGTCCACAGACTGTGTGTGCTACTCCACAGTGGGCACCAATGACGCCCAGACATCGGCCCTACACATCGTGGTCGGTGAGTCCCTCCCCAGGCAGGCGAGCAGCTCGGTGCAGGGATGGCAGCCAGCCCCTAAGCATCACACGGCACCGTCGCTCACCTCCATCGTCAGAGGGGCCTTTTAAATACATAAGTCGGTGATATCACACCCCTGCCCAGAGCCCTGGGGTGACTGGCTGGGTCTCTCACGGTGGTCTGAGCTCTGGCCAGCTGCCCTTCTGTCCTGGAACTTACATGTGCTCTGTCTTGGGCTCTGCACACCCCTCCAGGCTCAGGACAGGCTCCCTAGGCTGTGGTCCCTGAGGGCACGCTCCGTCCTTGGTCCCGAGTTGCTTTCTGCACAGAACCCATGGCTTCTGTGATACTCTCACTCATCTCGTGTTTATGCCTTTGCTGTCCCTGAGGGCAGGAAGCGCCATGCCCCCTGCCCTGGGACCCTGGGGTCTGGCCTAAGCCTGGGGCCTTAGAAGAGCCACTAACGGTTTTGCGTTTCAAGCCCCAGTTGCCTGCCTCAGCCTCAAGTCCACCTTCCCATCCTTAATGGCATTTCATAAGCCCTGTGGATACGTTTTGTTCTGTCCTCACAGAATAGCTTCCCAAGGCTATTTTTTAAAATTTGAGTCAAATTTTATCATTTGAACCAAGAACTTGGGTCCCAGTACCCCAAGAGCAAGGATCATGGCTCTGGGTACGTCCTGTCCCGTCCTGCTACCTGAGCGGCCCCTCTGTCCTTGGGGCGGGGACAGGCCGTCCTCACTGCGGCTTCTCCCCCAGGAGACTCCCTGCCCTTGGATGTGTCCTCAGTGCACCACCACGGCTCGCTGCTGCGCTACTCGGTGTCCCTGCTGGGCTACGGCTTCTACGGGGACATCGTCAGGGACAGTGAGAAGAAGCGCTGGATGGGGCTCATCAGATACGAGTTCTCAGGTGACTCAGAGGAGCACAGCAGGGCACACCACAGAGCACCGGCAGCTTCCAGTCCACACGCCCTCACTGCAGCCACAGCAGGCTGTGCAGGGCTCATGGGTGCCACCTGTGAAGGGGGTGCCCACCATGAAGGTGGCAGCTACCCAGAGGGCCTTGACTGCTCCCGTGGCCACTGGGTATCAGAGGGGTGGGCACTGTGGCCAGATGTGCTGTTGTCCAGGGGTGGGGGCAGAGTGACCGTCTAGCAGAGGGTGTGGCCTCGCTTCCCAGCACTCTGTGGCCAGAAATGCTCTCACTGATGTTCCAGAAGTTCATCATCCTGGAATCGTGACCAAGCAGTGACCTGTGGGTGTTCTTTGCCACACTCTATTCCCAGGTTTAAAGACCTTTCTCTCCCATCACTCCTATGACGGGACAGTGTCCTTCCTCCCTGCACAACACACAGTGGGGTCTCCGAGGGACGGGAAGCCCTGCCGGGCAGGGTGAGTGCATTTCCACGTGTGTGTCCACTGCAGACAACGGGAATAAAGGTGGCCTGTTTGGGGCAGTGCTCCCTGGGAGGTGAACACACAGATGACAGATGCTGGATTTAGTGTGACCAGTGACACGCTATGGCAGGCCTGTGTGTGCGGCTCACTATTCACAAGTGCCACAGAGGGAGCTGTCTCACTGAGTGGGACCCTGTGGCACTCTCGGGTAGCGTGTCCTGGGCCACACACGAGGACTTGATGAGGATTGAGGGGCGGGTCCTGCAGTGGTCATTGGGGTGAGGGCTGGTCCACGCTGTCCGCTTCTGATGTGGACAGGTTTCCTTGGCCTCCTCTGGGGCTCTGGTGGACAAGAAGCACAGGATGAGAAGAACTTAATTACTTGCGACTCTGCGCGCTGGAGAAACGGCAGCAACGTCCCTATCTTCCAGGTGCTTCATTTGCCGGCAGAGCAAGCAGCAGCTGGAGGAAGAGCAGAAGAAGGCGCTGTACGGCCTGGAGAGCGCAGGTACCCTCTGCCACGGTCTGCGCCGCGACTGTGCGCTGGCATCTGCCTCCCTGCACGGCTTTGCCTGTGCTGCAGGCTCATCCCTTTGCTCTTTAGCTCCAGGCAGCACCAAATCATTGCCACTTACCAGATTTGGGGGAACAGCAGGTTTTGTAAAAAGGCCCACTGCTGTCTTCCTCTGAACTGCCGTTGTGATGCCGGGCCCGGGACCTCTTCCTGGGCGCTTTAGACTGTGGGGTCGGCAAATGCCCTGCTGGGGCCTGGGTGGCGGGCGACTCAGGCTCCGCCCCCACCACACAAGGGGCACAGTGGCCGGGGCAGCCGTCGGCAGTACACAGTGTGTCAGTGAGTGGGCCTGGCTGTCACCAGTACCACTTTATTTGCAGACACTGAAATTTGAGTTTCGTATAATTTTCATGTTATCACAAAATATTATCATTCTTCTGATTTCTTCCGACTATTTAAAAGTGGGAAAACCATTCCTTGCTGAGAGTCCCTGCCCAGCAAGTGGCTGGACTGAGCCCACAGCCATACTTCACTGGTCCTGGTTCCAAGTGATTGTCCAAAAGTGGCTGGACTGAGCCCACAGCCACACTCCACTGGTCCTCGTTCTAAATAATTATCCAAAAGTCACCCCCTAGGGAGCAGTGAAAACAGTTCTGCCTTGGGGGAAGTGACCATTTGTGTCCAGCACTCACTGTGCAGCCTCCTGGGGTGAGTGGACGGTTGTGCAGCAGGTATTTTTGGTTTAATGCTAAAGAATCACTTGAATAAAGAACTCATGTTAAATGTATGGCCACAGTGAAAGGCAGGAGTATCCAGACCAGAGGCAGTGTAGAGCCTCCCGACCCCGGCTCCCTGCAGGACGCCTGGCCCTGTGCCCTGCTGACCCCTAACGCAGCCATGCTTTCTCTGCTACAGAGGAAGTGGAAGAGTGGCAGGTCGTCAGTGGGAAGTTTCTGGCCATCAACGCCACAAACATGGTGTGTGCTTGTCACCGGTGCCCCGGAGGCCTCTCCCCAGCTGCCCATTTGGGAGATGGGTCTTGTGACCTCATCCTCATCCGGAAATGTTCCAGGTTCAATTTTCTGAGATTCCTCTTCAGGCACACCAACCAGTACGACCAGGTGCGTGGAATGGCTTTCTGCACACGATCCATGTACTTTATTTTTAGGCGAACCGTGGTTTATAGGTTATAAGGAATATTTCATCTGCAGGAAGGACGTATTTTTGGTTTGCATTTTACGGATTTTAAAATCCTAGGTACAGTTTACTCCTTGTAAAATTCACTTAAAAATATAAATCTTTAGGGTGGCGCCTGTGGCTCAAAGGAGTAGGGTGCCAGCCCCAAATGCCAGAGGCGGCAGGTTCAAACCCAGCCCCGGCCAAAAACTGTAGAATAATTAAATAAATAAATAAATAAATCTTTGTGCGTAGAAACTAAGAGCCCCGAATGCCTATACACAGCGTCCTCTCCTGTCGTTTCTCTTCCTCCTTGAAAACAAAGTGACACGGTAAGGGTTTTTGTTGCCCTTACAGGTCAATTAAAATAAAATATTTAGACTTCTAGAAAGGACCCTGTTCAGGCTCTCCCATCAAACCTTTCTGTGCTTCATATAGAACGGACCTGAGTATGATGATTTTAGGAGAACTGAGACTTTGGCCAGAGTCTCTAATTTTAGTAAAATTTGGTTTTTTACTGAAATCATATTTAATATTTGGCCTCCTAAATAGTGCATGTTAAAAAAGAACATTACTGGTAAGGAACTGGCAGAATTCTCCAAAAAGTGTTGATTGTCACGGATGAGCTGTGATATCTAAACGTATCAGAAGTTGCCTTGCCTGGTGCTCTGGAAGGCAGGTCCCTCGTTTCCCATCAGCCATCACTACCCGGGGCCCCAGCTGGCGGCTGTGTGGCTGGGAAGGGCGCTGCTGGGCAGGGTACCGCCTGCCTGATGGGCTGAGCTCACTCTCCCTTTCATGGTCTCTCCGTAGTTTGACTTCTCTTTTGTGGAAGTTTATCGCGTCAAGAAATTCCAGTTTTCATCAAAGCACATGGAGGATGAGGACAGTGACCTCAAGGAGCGGGGGAAGAAGCGTTTGGGGCAGCTCTGCGGTGAACACTGCTCCTGCTGCTGCCCCGTGTCCAGCAGCTCGTGGAACTGTGACGGGGAGGTCCTACAGAACACTGCCATTGAGGTCAGGTGCGTGTCTCAGGCCGGACACTGCACTCCCAGGACCGTACAAAGGCACTTCTTGGTCCCTGTGTCGGGTATCAAGGGAGATGCCACCATCTGGATGTGGGGGGGGGGGTGCTGGGTATGGGCCCCTGTGTCATGTCAAGGGAGAGGCCACCATCTGGGTGTTAGGGGGATGGTGGGTGCAGGCCTCTATGTCGGGTGTCGAGGGAGAGGCTGCCGTCTGGGTGTTGGGAGATGCTGGGTGTCAAGGGAGAGGCCGCCACCTGGGTGTTGGGGGATGCTGGGTGTGGGCATGTGTGTTTTGCTATGCAGATAATTTCTACAGATGTTGAAGCCCCTCCATTCTCTTCTGCTTTTCCATACCCCACACCCCTGGCTGGTACGGGGCCCTTTGCCCTGGGATTCTCTTTCTCTTCTCCAGGATAATTCAAAAGACAAACAGATGAAGCCACCTTTACAGGCACTGCCTGAGTCCCTGACCCAGTGAATCCACTGGGAGGCATTTGGCCTCCAGGGGCCACATTCACCACCAAGTGTGGCGCCCAGCACAGGGAGGGCGGCAGGCAGGGGCTGGGGAGCCGCTGAGGGTAGCGGGGAGATGGACTGTAGGAGCCACAGGGGGAAGCTGTGTGTGGAGGCCATGCAGCCCAGGCCTGGAGTCAGGGGTGGCCAAGCATGGACATGTGGGAGGAGGTGGGACCTGGAGGCTGGTCTGGATGTCCTGCAGACCCCAGAGGGCCCGACCTGTGCAGCTTCCTCCTCCCAAGTGCAGCTGTTCAAAATCACTGGGTTGACACCAGGAATCACCCCTGGGGACACACTGACGGACCTCTGAGTGCACAGAGCCCAGGTTCACGGGCTCCCTGGAGGCAGGTGCCAGCGGGGACCAATGTGGGAAGTGGTTCCTCCCTCTGCTTGGGCCTGTTGTATTTGGTTTTGGGATCTATAGTTTGATTAGATGTTACATGACTGAATGGGATGGGAACACAAAGGAAGCTCTTTCCCTGGGCAAAGTTAACAACAGTGGTACAATTTTTATCACATTAGGAACCAATTTTTTTTTTTTTGACAGAGTCTCACTCTGACACCCAGGCTAGAGTGCCATGGTGTCATAGCTCACAGCAACCTCAAACTCTTAGGCTCAAGCCATCTTGCCTCAGCCTCCCGAGTAGCTGGGACTATAGGCACCTGTCACAACGCCCAGTTAGTTTGTCTATTTTTAATAGAGATGGGGTCTTGCTTTTGCTCAGGCTGGTCTTGAACTCCTGAGCTCAAGCCACCCACCTGCCTCAGCCTCCCAGAGTGCTAAAATTACAGGGGTGAGCCACTGTGCCCAGCCTCAGTTGTTTTTTACAAGGCTGTGGAGTTAGGTGTGGGTGTGCAAGTTACATGAGATAGGGGAGAGCTGTGCAATTCCAGGGGATTCTGTGTTGTTTGCAAACATCATTGAGCTCTTGGTCTGCTTTAAGGAAACCAAAACGGACACTCTTTGCAGAGTGTGGACTGGGTGAGAGCCGCCGATGAGCCGTCCACACGCCCTGCTGTGCTGTGCTGGGTGTGGCTCAGTGGTAGCTCTGCAGATGATGCCCAGTCCCAACTCCAGCTCCCGCCTGACCTGACCCATCTACCAGCAGCAGGTCCCAGAGGCAGCTCCAGAGCTTTTCCCATGAGCACCGGCCACGCTGACAAGGGGAGGGCTCTGCAGCCTCCCTGCCCAGGTCCCTTTTGGTAGGAGTGGCAGTGACAGGCAGATTGAAAGGCCCCAGGAACCCTCCCAGGCCAGTCTTCTGTATGTGTGGGGACATGGCATCTGCTGACTCATTTTACAAGTTCTTGGGATTATTTTTAATGCATATATATTTATTAAAGAAATAGAATACTTTAAAAGCAGGAAAAGCACATCTTGTGTATATTATGGGCCTGGACCAGCATGTCACCTGATTATGGGGCTCCAACTTCCAAACTTTGTTAATAAATGGGGCCATCAGGTGTAGGAAGGTGGCACCAACCCCAGAACCCGCTCTGACTGCCAAGCATGGGTAGGGCCCCCGGGACCTCTGACCTGCTCCTCGAACCCCAGGGCTCTTGCTGGCGTCTGACAACTCGTCCTTCCCCACTGAGCACTTCTCACACACACGGGGCCACCTGCCTCAGCTGCTTGCAGGGCCCTGTGAGTGTGGGCTGATGGGCAAACTGAGGAGGCTGGCTAGAGTGGCTGTGTGCCATCGGGAGGGCTGTTGGGATCAGAACCAGGTCTGCTGACACCCTGGGTCTCCCACCTGGCCATCGACATCCCGTTAGGCCCTCGGTCTCTGCAGTGATGCCTGCCTGTGTCCTGGGCCCTCACCTCTACCCTTGTCCAGCCACGGGGCTAGAGGCCAGCTGTGAGCAGGACACAGGGCTCACCGGTGGCTGTCTGTCTCCGCAGGGTCCACTGTCAGCTGGTTCGCCTCTTTGCACGAGGAATCGAGGACAATGCCAAGCAAGAATCACGCAGCTGAGAAGCCGTCTACCCATCGTCCACCTCGCGCTTGGGAAGTGTGAAAATTATTTAAGAAATTTACTACAGACCAATTATGTTGATATATACATTTAAATTTAGAAATTTATTTTTGATAGTTGAATCTTGATTTTAGAAAAAATACTTTTTTGTCAACAATTCTGTGTACATATCTGGCATTTTAAGTTCTCTGTGCATCCGTGGGCTGCGTCTCACACAACTACTCAGCAAGGCCTTCCTGTTGATCGGGGGCACCGGCTTCTTAGATACTAGCGGTGTCAACAGTGTAGTTCTTAAAATGGCCTGTTAGTGGCTCTATTGCAATAACTTTAGGGACATCATAATATGAGTGCTTTCCACAGAGGGCACACCAGCTGGGCATGAGGTAACCCTGGTCTCTCTGACCCACTCTGTAGGGTTCACTCTAGTTTGTTGTGTGTGGCTGAGTTTCGGAACGTCGTGGGTTCTCTCCGCCTTTGTTTGCCTCCACCTTAGTGTGGTTAGGAAAGAGCAGCCTGATCCTCGGTGTGCCGTGCAACGGCAGTGCAGCGCAGTCCTGCTGTGAGGATCCTGTGAAGGGGTATAGTCCCTGTGAAGGGCACCAGGCACCACGGGACGTGACCTCAGGGTCCCCCCAGCCCCATCACAGTTGTGTCTCTGAGACAACCCAGCGAGGGCAAGGGCCTCTCACCCGCTCTGTGGGCATGTCAGGGCAGCAGGTGATGCACTGGCAAGATTTTGTTAGTTTTAAAATGTAAGACGGGGCTGCTTTGTGTCCACGCAAAGTGCACCATGTAGCTGGGCCTGTGGGGGACACGGGAAGCTGCACTCAGCAGGACAGGGCCGTCCCCAGATGCTGCCAGGATCACCTCAGTACATGCAGCCCAGCTCTGTTCTGTTCTTGTCTTCACTGTGAGCTCTATTTATTTATTGAACATTTTGTCCTTCTAAGCCAGAGTAGTGTCAGTAGTGTCCCCCCCGTCTGTGTTTGTCTCTGAAGCACGACTGGCCTTTCCTTTTCTGCTGTAGCACACGGGCCGCCGTGGCTGAGAGTCCCCAGCTCCTCAGTGCTGTAATCACACTTGTGGGTGTGACAAGGTACAGGAACAAGCCGCTCATGCTCAGCTTTGTAAGGAGAGGGCAGGCTGGGTTGCCGCAGAGCGTGGTGCAGACACAGCTCTCAGGCGGGCATCACACAGGCTCTGTCAGCCAGTCTCACATTCAACAGTTAGCTCGTATTTCCGGAATCCCCTTTGTCGTGATTTACATTTTGAACTACAGATGCAACTCCTCATTTCACCAGCCCCACACAGGTTGGGCCAAGGGCAGCTTTCGGAGTGTCTTGTTTCTTGTTTCTTGCTGTGGACCATGTTATCAAAGACAGCTGTGCTGATGTTGAATCAAAGATTTGGGATTTTAAAAAGAGGGAACAGGCCTGGGCTGCTTCTACCCTTGTTGGGTCCTGGTTGGGAAGAAAACCAGGTGACCGGACCAGCAGCTCTGAGAGGGGCTGGCGCTGCATGGTCGCCCAGTGTGGTACCAAGAGGGTGGTTTGCGGGAGGCAGGCTGAGGAGGCTGTGGGCTTCCCTTGGCCTTCCGGAGTTGAGCTGAAGATTTAGCACAAGGTTTCCCCAAAAGACTCTCCAAGGTCTTCACTGTCCCTGAAAAAGGTTTCCCACACAGTGGCCCTCCCCGAAATCCACTGCTCCACTGCCAGTTTGGGGAGCTTAGTGCAGGCCAAAGAGCACGTGTTTTGTGTTCCCCGGGAGACGCAGCCATTGCACATGGCCAGCCCTCAGACAGCGGCCGTGGTGGTCACCAACCACATGTGGGCATTCAGACTCGCCAATCTGGGACTTTTGTTAGGGTCCCACGAGTGTCCGACACCCTGAAAGTCCCTTGATCCCTGCACACACGATGAGGTGGCCGCTCAGACCGTCCTGCGTAGGAGCCCAGACTGACATCCATGAAGCCTTCCAGATGTAGCAACCACAATGCCTGTACGTTGGGGTTTAAGGGAAGAAACCAGAAGTGGTAGACAGTGAGAACATAGGACGCTCACAAGGGTTGATCTAAGTTTCAGCTTCCTCTGCAGCTCGTTGGTGCAGAACAGGTGCCGATTCTTGGTAATTCCAATCTAGAAGCCGGAGCGTGGGTGCCTGCCTCAGGTGGGGGGAATCGATCTGTACGACCATGAGCCTGAGGGGAAGGGTGATTTTTGATTTTTGTTCTAATCTTGCTGGTTCCAAGATTAGAGAGTGGCATTATCTGATCTGTTTGAGAAGACAAAAATAAAGTTACTCGGGCAGATTTGGCTTTTTTTCTTTCCTTTACAAATTGCTGTTATTTTCAAAGCAGAGTACCGTTCATGAGACGCTGTCTGCGGCTGTGCTTACTGCAGTGTGCAGCTTTGTTGGGTTTGCGCTTTGTCTGCGGGGAACTTGCTGTGTGCGGTTCTCTGTGACTTGCTCCTTAAACCCCACGTTTTAAGACATTTGCATCATGAAAATGAGCCTTCCAGCCCACGAACGTGGCATTATTTCCATTTATATAGATCCTCAGGAGTATCTTCCAACAATTTCAGGACCTTCCATAAAAGTCTTTTAACTTTGTTTAGATTTATGCTTGAAAACTTCACCTTTTGAGGCTTTAAAAAAATGTTCTGCATAGAAATGTAATTGTTTTTCATGTGTGAGGCTATGCCTGGAAACTTCACCTCCTCAACCTGAACAACGATAGAAACAGGCTCTCCAGAGACAGCTTATTTGGGAGTGGGAGGGGCCTGCAGTCGGGATGTACGTGCTGTGATGGGTCCCAGGCGTAGCCGGGGTCAGGGCAAAGGGGACACTGAAAGGCAAAGAGGAAGTCCACGGGCACTGCGTTGAGACAGAGTTGGAGGGTCGCAGGCGCACGCTGGGGCCAGGCCCTGTTCGGTGGTGGAGCAGGTGAGTGCTCTCGTCCACTTGCTCTGTCGGGACACTGTGCCCCTGGGGGAGTGCCGGGAGAAGCCCTGTCACCAGCTGGTCTGTGCGCAGGACCGATTGGGGACAGGCCTGTGCACGAGGGCTGCTTCACACCCCCACTCCAATCTGTTAAATTGGTTAGAATTTCACGTAAATAACCTCATTTGGGTTCCATCAACTTTCGCACTCCTAAATGTACCTATAGATTTTTCCGTTATCATTGTCGCTGCAGATACGATAATTGAGTATGATCCTTACGGTTCTCCACGTTCTGCTGCCCGTCTGTGCCGGCCTGTCCCCTCCTGGGTGCCTCTCCCTCTGGCCCTGCCCTACTGCCCTCTGGTGAGCGGCATGTCCCCCTTCCTGCTGAGGGGCCCTGGGCCTCCTGGTTCCAGGTGTCTGGGGACAGATGTCAGCGGGGCTGGGCAGCTCCTGGGACCCTTCCTTGCCCTCCCTGTCGGTGATTCCCAGTCTTTGATCTCTTGCCCCTCAGCAGCCAGCTCCGTGCCCTGTCCCCCATATGGCTATTAACCCCGCAGCATCCACTCAGCCTGTGGGAGTCACAGGGGAGAACAGAAGGACCCACAACCGCTGGTTCCCCCATAACCACTGGCTCTAAACACTACCCCTATAGGACACTCGAAGAGAACAAAGGCGGCCCCAGAATAAACCATTAATGATCTCATTCCCCTCTGGGGTACTGTCCCCCTGGCCAACTTCCCACACCTGGGCAACCCCTCCTGTGGTTGGCAGCCAGTGAGGCTTCTGCCCAGAGCCCTGCAGGGACCCCAGTACCCCCCGAGAGTGAAAGCTCCAGACCTACAGGTGCCCTCCTCTGGGGTTTGAGACCTTGTCTTTGTAGCCAGGCCAAGCAGGAGATGCCCTGGGGCACCGCTGTGAAAGGTGTGGATTAGATACACACCACAGCCACGGAGGCCAGCTAACCAGCAAAATGGCTACAAGTCATTTCATAATAGTGATGACATGGAGGCCTCGGTTGTCATTAAAGAGTAATGAAATATGTGTAAGACAGGCTCATTGTCACGGTGCAGAGTACTCTGAGTGAAGAGGCTATGGGCCGAGGGCAGGTGGCTCCCGCAGGCCCAGCTGCATCCCCCAGGTCCCTGCCTGGCCCCAGCGGTCCCCCTCAGCCCACTGTGCCTCCTGAAGCCGGGTGAGGGAGCTGTGGGGGGCCATCTCAGCAGGGAGTGGGACTGAGGCTCCCAGGGACCTCTGTGCTACCACTGCTGTATCCCAGCACCCAGGATAGTGCCTGCCAGTGTTCTGAGGCCCTTTCCCCCGGCATGGAGCTGGACTCCCAAACTAGGTTGTCTCTGGGAGACCTGGCACAGGAGGCTGGGCACCAGCAGGTGAGCCTGGCTTAGGTCTGTGCAAACTCCGGTGGCTTCAGAAGCCAGGCAGTCTCCTGTGTCCTCCTGTGTCCAGTGACGGTGTGTGGACCAGCCAAGCGCCAGCTGTTGCTGGAGACCCCTCTGCCCAGACCCACTCTGCCCAGCAGGGTGGGGCCGGGACCTGCACCATTGCCTATGGGCCCAGCAGAGGGCTCCCGTGTCCCACAGTCTTGGTGTCCAGAACCCCTCCCAAAGGCAGCTGCAGGGTCCCTGGGGTGTGACAGGTGGGCAGAGCCCAGCTCCTGCCACCTACATCATGCACGGCCCTGCCCAGAAGGCGGACAGCCCCCCAGCCTTAGCACAAAGCATTTTAGGTTTATTTAAATAAAAATTATAATTTATACAAGACTTCTTTAAACAAAGTTTTCTTAAAAAAATGTTACAGGGCTTTCTTTCTCATGGGTTCTTCATACAGTACAATCCTTTTTTTGAACAAGTCACACTGGCAATGATTATTTACAGATCGAAAATAGACTCAGGCTTCAGACATAAAAAATTTAACATTCATTGTAGTTCAGTGATTAGTCATAGAAATTAAACATCTGCCCAGATTTACACACTTCAATAAAAACTACAGCTTCTCCTGCCGCTGTGCTCCTGCAGACCCCAGCTGTGCAGCTCGCAGCCTGCGGCCAGCCCGGCTTGTGGTCAGTTTTCATCTCCCTTTCTCCTCAAAAGGGACTCAAACTACCAGCCCACTCTGTGGAGAAGCCCCATCCTGCCACAGGGAACTGTGCTGGGGGACAGAATCCCAGTGCACTTAAAGAGGCACTCACTGACACCAAGGTCCCCAAGAGCTACACTTGAGCACTGCCGGGGCCCCAGAGAAGGTTTTGCTCATCAGCTACAGGTATCACCCCACCCCACAGCCATTTGCTGGGGACAGGTCAGGGCCCACCCAGCCTTGCCCTGGGCACAGATGGGGGTCCAGTGGGGTGCGCCCTGTTCCCCCTTCCCGTGCACCAGAGACAGCTGGTCCAGTATAGAGGCCAGAGCCGGGGTTCTGCCTTCACTTAGGAAAGGATGACATGCGGTGACCTGGAGCACTGACACCCATGTGGCCGGGAGCTGTGGGGGTGGCACCATCTGGGGTGGGAAGTGTGCTTAACCTGGCTGGCCGGCGCGGCTTCCCCAAAGCCCCTGGTACCAGTGTGTGACCCTGCAGTCCCCACAAAGAGGGTATCTTGGGCCATCAGATCTCTCACCCAAACCAGCAAATGAGGATCAGAGCAAAGGTAAAAATTACATCTGAAAAATGATACAAAAATAAGAAAAACAGCTTGCTCTCTGTAAAAAATATAATCTTCTGTTTCTTCAAAAAACAATCTCAACAACACCCAAAAGACTCAGGACAAGCTGAGGGAACTGGAGTAACCTGCCCTAGAGGTGTGCAGACCAAGATGGCTGCACCTCCGGGGAACCGCAGGCCTGTCCAGAACCCGAGGCAGCCCTGCTCCTCACTCCACACCTGACACAGAGGTTCCAGAACAGACTGGCCTGCAAGAGGCTCTCTCCAACCTCCTTCACAGCCCAGTTCTCTGGGAGCCTGGCTTCCCTGTGCAGTGCCAGGGCTGTGGAGGAACAGCTCACCCTGCACACCGGGGCAGGCAATACTGTCAGTGCTGGCCCCAGGCCTCTGCCCATGGGCTTCTAAAGCAGAGGGACCTCCAAGCTTCCCTGACAGCCCACAGGGGAAGGGCATCTGCAGCAAGGGTCAGTATGGGTTGGTACCCTCCTTCCCACCCCCTGCCCCCCAACCACCCAAGTGGCTGCAGCCTGGAAGCCAAGAGCCAGCCCCGGCTGTAGCTGGTTTTCATCTGAAGGCCGCTGAAGCTCACAGCACCTCCAAAGCCTTTGCGGGTGTTCTCTGCACCTCTCCAAAGAGCAAAGTGTTAAAAAGATGTGCTTTACCACTCTGGACCATTTTGGGTCACCAACTGCAGACCTCCCTGGCCGGCATGAGGCCAAGATGGGCAGGCGGCCCATGCAGGTGCTGGGCCAGGCCTGGATACTGAGGTGCTGGCCAGAGAAAGGTGTCACCCAACATGCCCAGCTCTGAGGGGGAGCGAGAGGCAGGGGGCCCTATTTGCAGCCTTCACGCTCCCATGAAAGGGGAGTGCAGGGCATGTTTAGTGACGCTGCTCCTGCCGAGGGCAGCCCCAGCTGGAGAGTTTTGCTGGAGGAGGGGAAGAGTCACAGCCCATTTCTCGGAGGTTGGCGAAGCGGCCTCTGGATTACTCCTGACTGCCATCTTACTGACCATAGCACTCCTCAGCTATGGCTTTGGTGGTGGAAAAGCTTCAGCCTCGGGAGAGCAGGGGATGTAGGGTCACGAGAGCCTCTTGGGGGTCTTCAATTCGGTCTCTCAATCTGGGCTGAGATGGAGAATGGTGGGGGCCACATAGCCTCCTCCCAACAGGCCCCAAGGCTCCTCTGTCCTCCCGTGTCCATAGGTGTCCATCAGCGCCATCAGGGGGCCCCCCCCTCTGTCCTGGGGGTCCCGGCCCTTCATGGTCCATAAAATGCAGGTATCAACATAATAAAAACCACTGGTCGAGGAGAATTATTGCAAAAGATCATGAGGATGTCCATTTTTTCCACTATCAAATTATTAAAAAAAAAAAAATTCCAGCATGTCCCAAGAAGCCAATACTAGCTGTCTCCACCGGACGCTGCTGCTGAAGTGATCTTCATGTACTGGCTGAAAATGGTCTCGAAGGCCTCATCTCTGTGTACCATGGCACCAAACACAAGTGGCTGGCAAGGGGGAAATGCCATCGGTGAACACAGTGATGGCCAGGATGACATCAAGACCAAGACACCCCCAAGCCCAGGGCCCACATGGACGTGCAGCCGCTTGGGGTCTGGGTGCAGAAGAAGAGATGTCCCCTGCCACCCAGGGGCCAACCTCTCAGCCTTCTGAGAAACTGAGGTAGGAGGCAGGGGCCCCAGGCTCCAGGCTCAGCGTCTCCTTCCCTGAATCATCGAGCTGGGTCCACCCCAGCCTCACACTCCCTGTCTGCTCTGTGGCCTCAACAAGGGCTAAGATCTCAGGCCCTACTGCCCCAGCTGAAGCCCAAGACCCTCAGGCCCACCTGACCGTGGTGGCCACTGGCCTGGCACTTACTTTCTGGGTTGATGGCGTCGATACAGCAATCCCCATACCTGAGCCTGGGAGGACAGACAGGACCTTGTACTGAAAGACAACAAGGTGGCCGTCACCGTGGGCCTCTCCCAAGCACAGGGTGGCAGCCAGCCTGCCACAGGTCTGGGCATTCTCTCCCCTGGACACACAGGTGACAAGACCACTGGGGGCTGGGACTTCCTAGCCACAGACATTAAGATCTCCCAAGAATCTGCTCACTCTGTGACTAAGAAACCAGGCCTGTAAATGGTCTGTCCCACCCTCTCTCAGGCCACCAGCCCCTGGCCCAAGTGAGGCTGGGGAAGCATAGGTCCCTAAGCCCAGTGTCAAGGCCTGGTGCCAGCAAGTGTGTGTGTTGGCACCATCCACCCCACCAGAAAGCAGACTGAGAGGACTCTGGACCTCACTCTATGCCTTCTGGTCAACCAATCATGCATCTTTTTTCTGGAGGGAGTGACCAACAGCAGCCACGGGGCTAGGCGTGCCTGGTGCCATGGACGGAGAGGACACCACAGCCATAGACAGACCTGCCAGTACCCAGGACGTCAAGAAGGAGCAGCGAGCCTGCAGATGTGTATGCCAAGATCAAGGTCCTGGGCACCGCACACACCTGTGCCCACGTTCTCTGCAGATTTGCATAGTGACAATCAAAGGAAACTGGCCAAGAAAATGCCTGGACCAGGTACAACCACAGCTCTCACCTAATGCCTGTACCTGTAGCAGGAGCTGGGGGCTCCCTGGGCTTCAGAGGGTCTCAGACTCAATGGGTGGAGAGCACAGTGGCTGGGCAGGGCTTGAACCAACCTCCTGGGTGCTAACTCCACCCCCTTTAAGATACATGGCCTGGGTATGTCTTACCCATGTGGTCCCACAGGGGGACCTTGGCAGGTGCTGACCTGCAGGGATGTGGGGGCTGATGCTGGAGAGAGAGACTGTGGCAAGTGGCGCAGCCTCAGTGCACGGAGACTCTGAGGGGGGCTGATGGGCTCTCGGTGGAGACTTTCTAGTAGGTGAGCCCCAGTGGGGACAGCAGCAGTGCCTAGGATGCACCGTCCCCCAAGGGGCATGGCCCTGTCCCAGTGAAACCCACCAGCTTCAGGGCCCTTGGCTTTTCTGACCCTAAAAGCAGAAGGGGACAAGGGCAACGCAGGGGACCACAGCCACACCAACCTTCTGGATGTCGGTGATGTCCACCAGCTTGATGACCTTGTTCCTCTTTGAAGATCCAGATTTGGAGCTTTCGAAGCACAAGTAACTAGAGGGGGAGGGGAGGGGACAACCTAGCAGCTGCCCCACAGCCCTGTAGGGACACACAGTGACACTTCCCCACCCAGTGCTACATGTACAAAAAGCTAGAATGTTTAACCCAAGACCCAGGTGTCCCTGGGTCTCCCAGGCAGCTCCTGATCAGTGGATGGGGGAATCCAGGGACTTTGGCCTCTGCTGCAGGTGTGGGGGACCAGGTAGCTCAGGGCCCCACATGGCCAAAAACAGACACCACTCCTGGCCAGCTCACCTCCCCCCGACCATGCCCAGGGTTGTGTAGGAGGCTGGTGGGGTCAGTCTTGCTTTGGTGGAAAAAACCAGTCTTCAGGCTGCTACACGCCAAAGAAAGGCAACAGTGCTAGCAGGTCACTGCACAGTCCCCTCCTCAGGAGACTGTCCCTCGCCTCCCTGCAAGGCTTTGGCAGACACAGCACCCCCAAAGCCTGAGAAGACACTGGGACACAGCGGGGCAGCCTCTTGGCAGGAGGCCTCCCAGGAATCCTTCTCAGGCCAGTTGCGCCCCCCACCCAGGGAGGCAAGGTGCCCCCTCACCTGCTGTGGTGCCCACTCACCTCTCCATCACGCACAGACCCCCACTCGCCTCTCCATCACGCACAGCACCCCACTC